CCGCGTGCTGAGGGCATTAGGGGGAGCCTCGGCTCGAGGCGCAGGGCGGGCCGGGGCGACCGAGGCTTGTGGCTGGGGATGCGGCCACAGGCAGCTGCCGGGAAGCCCCCTGGTGACCTTGCAAGCTGCGCCTGCCCTCGGCCCCCTCCCCCCCTCATCGGGAGCACTCACGCAACCCTTGCTGCTGCGCGCGGCCGGCCCCTCAACCAAGACCTGCGACGGGAGGCCGGCCCCCCACGCCCGCTGTGCCCCACCGGAAGAAGAGGAAGCTGCCCAGCACCCAGCGCTCCTTCCGCTCATTGGCCTGCTTGGCCAGAAATATCTCCCGCGCCTCCGCCTGGGTTGGGTGGGACCCCCAAGAAGGGCGGCGGGAGAGGGCGCGTTTCAAGGATGTCGCGAGCAGCAGGCGCGCCCGCAATGTTTGCTTGCGCCGGCGTGAATGCGACGGGCTGGACCAACACAGTGCACAACAAACTGGCATGCAAACGAGGCAGAGCCCCAGCCCTGCTGCTGCCGTCTCTTCCATGATGCGCCTGCTGCCCTGCCACCCCCTCCTGGCATCTGCCCATGCTGAGAGGGGTCGGCCCCCACACCCGGCCCCGCCGAATGGTCCAGACGCCACATAACACGTGCGAAAATCCCCCACCCCACCCCAGTCCAGGCAGTCCGAGCAGTCCAGGCAGACCTGCATGTCCGGCGGCAGCTGGAAGACGTCCCCAAATATCGTCACCCGCGCGTTGGCCAGCCCCGTCCAGCCGGGCATCTGCACCACCAGGCTGCAGCGGCTGTCCTCTATCAGGTTGCGCGCATGGATGGCCAGCGGGCTGAGGCAGAAGATCGGCATGCCGGCGCCGTCGGTGGCGAAGTCCACGAGGGTGCCAAAGGGGTAGCCCGCGCGCCGGTGGTGCATGTGGGACCTGTTTTGGGGCGGAAGGGACGGCGGACGGTGGGGAGCAACGAGGGCGGGGGGCGAGCGCAAGCGCAGGGCGGCCGGCCGTCGCCAGCACAAGCGCTGCGACCATTTGGGAGGGGTATGGATGGCTCCTCCACCCTGCCAGTGGCTGGGTTCTCTCTGCCCCCATTCCCCGCGAACCCCTGCACCAGCTGCATCAGTCCACATGGTTGGGTGATTGTCACAAACGCACATGCAGCCCGCACACACATGCCCCACACGGACAAGCACACACCAAGCACACGCTCACATGCATGTGCACATGCGTGCTTGCGCATGCGCACAAATGCACATGCGCTCGCGCACACACACACATGCACGTACACGCATGCCCATGCACCTGCACACGCATGCGCTAAAACGAGCATGCACATGTATACGCGCGGCCCAGCATCATATTCTCCCCCTCAATCAGAGCCTCACATGATTGTGCACAGGTGCGCAAACTGCGCCTGCTCAACCAAGTTGCGCACCGCCACGCTGGGCGCCGGCAGGTCATATCGGGCTGTCGCCGTCTTCACGCCACCGCTCAGCGGCGCACGCCGCAGGCCGCCCAGGCTTTTGACGGTGGATCGCCGCGGCGCGGGGGCCGGCTGCTGCACTGGGGCCGGCTGCGACTCCGGCTTCAGGTGGTCCAATGAGGTGGGCAGCCGCGGCGCCGCCGCGCCCGGCAGCGGGTCGCGCGGCGCCTGGGCGCCGCTGTTGCTGCCTGAGAGCGCGGCGCATGGCGGCGCGGGTCTGCGGCGCACGGCGGCTGGCTGCGGCGGGTGCGTCCGGCCGTTGCATGCACGCTGACACACCGTGAGCGGCGGCTGTGCTCCTACCAAGTGCATGCTGTCAAAGGCGATGCTTATGTGCAGTAAAACTTCAAATGGTTGCACAAGCAGACCCTGGAGACGACTATCAGTTCTTAGATCAATTGGGGAATTTGCGAAGTTCAGGCATTCAGTTATGCAGACAGCATAGTCGATCGTGTTGTCGGCGTTATGAACGACTTGGCCAAGCGCACGTGACAGCCAGGGTCAACATACACATCGCCACACTGCCAGCTCGCTGCACTGTACAGTACTCGTTCGACACCGCAGCGGTGTGGCGCTCAATGGTGGTAGCAGCAGGCGCCCATGGGATAATACAGGCAGTAGTAGCAGGCGTGCATGAGACGGGGCTCTTTAATCCCATGAGCTGTCACGCACCAGCAGCAAGTACACCTGCCCAAGCTCAGGAACGGCAGCTCAAGGCGTGGTGATCCCTTGGCAGGGATGGGCCCTGCAATGCGCTTCGACAGCACACCGTCTACACCAATAGCAGGCAGCACGGGGTGAGGTTAGCAGATAACAGTTTGCTTCCAATACCTGCCATGAAACGCCGCTTTGAGCATGCGTGGACTCCATTCCTGTTGTATTACCGCTGATTTGCATGGGGTGACGGCAAGAGCGCCGGACCTCCCAGCCCCCCCTGCGCCGCGGCATCGCCCTCCACCGCATGCACCCTTCCGCCACTAATGTGAACAGTTGCCGCCCTCCATCCAGACACAAAGTGATGACGGCCCAGAGCTGTAACAAGCCAGTTCACACATGAAGTGGGTGATGCGCCATGCAGCCATCGACACAGCGGTGCGTGGCGCTCAGAAGCAGGCCACCGTGCGGGGCGGACGGGGTCCCGCCCTGGAAAATTCAGGCTCAGAAGGAACCTTATTCAGCCTGTTGCGTCGGTGCACCCGCCTGCTGCTAGCGCACACATGGCTGCGGGCAGGGCGACGTTTGTGCACGCCAGGCTGGCGGGCAGGCGGCCCGTGGCTTCCAACGCTGACCGCGGGCAGCGCTCAAGCGCCGCGTTTGAGCCCGGGGTGTGCAGCATCATGCATAGGACAAGGGGCACATTGGCTGGACGCGCTCATCAATGCAAGAATGTAAATGCAGCCTGCAGGCAGCCGGGCAGCTGCGGCGCGGCGAGGTCGGCTGCGCAGGGGCCCGGACCGCCGGGTGTTGGGGGCGGCAGCGGCCGAGGCGGCCGCAAATACGCCGCATGCACGCATTCCCTGAAGAGGGCGGCTGTCTGACTGCCGGCTGTGATGACCTGGACCCGGGTCACGACAGCCGGATGGGGGTTGAGGGGGCCGCCCATTGATGTTGTGCACACACACACACGCCACGCACGCATGCGCGCACGCACACACGCACAATGCACGCACACGACACCACACCGCGCCACACGCAAATAGATGCACGACGCAATTTCGCCGCCGGGTTGGTGGAGGAGATAATGCTTCCCGGGGGTTGGGAAAGGTTGCTGACTGTACATAACTGGAGGTAATTGGCAGCACGCCCGACAAAAACACAGGCGCGGCACCGGTGCAGCACCACACAAGCGGCAAGAGGCAATATATTGTGGTGTGTACGAATGCCGGTGGACTGGGTCCCTGACTATGTGACTGGTTCAGGCAGGTTGCCCAGTGCTGCTGACAAGGGGGGCCCACACACAGTCCCCACGCGCACGGGAAACCGGACAAATAAAGGGGCGTTCACCGCTCCGGCCGGTTGCTTGTCCATCCCCGACGCCCCATCGGCACAAAAAAGTGCGTGCGTGGGGAGGGACGCGCGTGTGGAAAAGCGCATGTGCACATGCAGCCGATGTTTGGCTGGAGCGTGCAGTTCCCGTGCACCCGCCGGCGCCAGAGCACCCTAGAGGTTGCCCAGGCGGCGGCGCGCATGCTCGCGCACCGCGCGCGCTGCTGACCGGTGCTTGCCTAAATCTTTCAATGCACGTACGCTGCGTTCTGGCCTTACTGCTGCTGCTCCTGCGGCCGCTGCTGCAAATAATCCCCGTTGCGGGGCGCCTGCTCCTGCCCCTTGGCGGCCGTGCCGCCCTGCACCTGCCGGTGCGCCGCCGCCGCCTCCTCCAGCTGCTGCTGCTCATGAAACTCGCGCATCACCCGCGCCAGCTCGTGGTACGACGGCGGCCGCCCTGGCGTCGACGCCATCGCCGTCGGCGTCATCGGCCCCGACCGCGCCGCGCCGTCGGGCTGCTGCTGCTGCTGCTGGTGGCCCGCGTGCCCGGAGCGCGACAGCGACGGCAGCGGCGCCGGCGGGGCCGCCAGCGCCGCCGCAGCCGCCGCCCCGGCCGGAGGCTCCGGCGGCGGCGCCGCACCAGAATCCTCCTCAGCCGCGCCCCCCTCGTCCCCGCCGCCCGCGGCGACGCGCCCGACCTCCCTTCGGATCATGGCCGCGATGGCGCGGGCCTGCTCGGCGCTCAGCGACAGGTCCTCCATCATCTCGTGGGCCACGCAGTCCGCGGTGTCCTCGACCGTGTCAAACGTGAACTCGATGGTCTTGCAGTTGCCTGGTGTGTACGCGTGTGT